ATGAGCTCCCTTCTGAACTCCCAGGATAGAACGCGAGCTGGAGCGTAGCCGTAGTGTGATTGTGTCGCGGAGGAATCACAGAGTGTGTTGTATGACAAAACAGTAACTTTGTCGGTACGATGGTTCGAGGAGCTGGCGGTTTCGTCGAGGACAACCCAGTCCCGGTCCGGGGGTGGAAGGTGAACTGCCATCAGTGTCAGTAGCTGGTGCAAGAAAGAATGCTTGAAAAAGATCTGCATCTACTAACCTGGCATCTCTTCCTTGAGATATTTGATCAAAGCCTTGGTACCCTCTTTCATGATGTGAGACTTCAAGACATCATTCAGCGGATTACCCTCAATACCGAGTGTTTCCAGCCTGTAAAGGTAGCCCATCTCGTAAGGAAGTGTGCGGATATTGTTGTCGAACAGGTAGAGCTTCTTCAGGTTCGTGAGCATACCGATCTCCTCTGGGAGCTCGGTGAGATCGTTGCCTGACAGGTCCAAGTGACTTAACTTTCGAAGCTGCCCGATGGTCGGTGGCAGGGCTTTCAATTTGTTATGATTCAGGTACAACTTCTCCAGGAAAACATAGTTGAAAAGAGACGTGGAAAGCGCGCGCAGTCCCTGTCCGCCGAAATCCAAGGCGTGCCAACCTTGCCGTGAAGACGCCTTGCCTTTGACCACCCCGTTCTGCCCATCGGGGCCTTGTTCTTGTGTCTCAGGTTGACTAGGGGCGATCTGGATGCCCTTGGCTTGTTGCGCGACTGACCGGGCATGATAGTGGGGAGAGCTGGCCTGCCGTGATTCCGCGGCCAACTGAAGTTGTTGCTGCCAGTGCTCATTCATCGATTCGTCAATATCTTCGTCAACATTAGTGTGAGCCCCATTTTGCATGTGGCTTGGGGTGAAGTGGGGAGTCGCGGAAGCCAATGCCCCGCTCGAGAAGTTGTGTTGGTGGTTGATGTTGTGTGAAGCTTGGTTGTGGAGCGTGTGGTGATGAGGTTGCTGCGTATGATGCGGGTGATGACTCTGCGACTGAAACTTGGGGATCTGCATGCCAAACCGCTGGTGGGCTTGGCCGCCATTCATCATGACATGCTGCCCTTGATGAGTTTGGCTGTACATGTTGAATGGATTGAGAGCCGCGGCCTGACTGAGAGGAGGAGATCGGGAAGGTGAGGGAGTATCGTGGTTGAACTTCAGTCTTCCAGTGGGTGAATTCGTCCCGTTTCGAGTGATGTGTCGCTGGTGAGAGTGCTGTTGTGGTTGCGTTTGAAAGAAGAACTGCCCGGCCCCAGGCTGCTGGAACCTGTAGGTACCATCTGCCATTTAACGTGGCAGATGAAACCGTGAGCGGGTTGCTTGAAGCGGGTTTGTGAAGACGGTTCGAGTCGACGACACAGGGCTGAGAGCAGCAGAGGGAGAGAAAGGAGGAGTCGAGGATCGAATAATGCGGTCTCTCCTTCTCTTCAACATGGGGTCCTGAAGCGGAACCGCCCCCTAGATAGTCCTTCCGAAGTATTGACTGCAGAGGAATTCACCACGGACAGCCTCGTTCCAGTCTCTAGCGTTCACTAATCTGCCGACCGAGGGAGCGATGGTCAAACGATAGGGGCGGGAGAGCGGGCGGGCGAACGAGTCACAAGCGCTGAGGGAGGAGGTCCCGGGCAATGAGCCTGTACCGGATGGCTATCAAGGCTCCAAAGCGTAGATGAGCCAAGGAAATTGAGCTATGCGCACAAGTATCTTTATCGATTGATGAAGTAGAAGCATCAAGGGTCTGGTCGAGATGGCAGTCTTGTCGCCTTGATGCTGCGAAGTGGTTTGCATCGAAGGCGGGAGTCGTACCATCACGTGATGCCATATCCGAGAACATGATTCGCCAACAATGACAGGGCCAAGACCAGCTCAACACACCAAATCTCCAGCTTCCCCTCGACACTTGGCTTCAGATCTTTGAAATAGTTCGCATCAGCTGCTCTGTTGCATAGTTACTCGATCTTGATTTGCTCATTGATCTTCAGGGTTATCAATGCAATCGCGTCCTCAGTTGACTTACTGTAACGAAAAGCGATGATCGAGGCTGTTTCCGCATCGAAGAAGACTCCGAGCAGAGATTGTGCTACATTACTCCATACATACTCGATCTGGTCCAGTATCACGGCTGGCCAACAATTTCTGGAAGGCGGGAATATCACCGTTCATCCTAGAAGGCATGCTTATCAATCCAAGAAATAATCCGACAATTCAGCCTCATTCTACAAGGATACAGGCTCAACGATGTTGTAAACATCCTACTATATATAGCCTCTTCCGTGTTTCCAGTACACCGTCGTGATTGACCTTTCCTGGCCTTTTTTTTTTTTTTTTTGCTTGGAACAATGGCCTCAGTGCACCAACATCAACCATCTAAGAACAGAGCCCGACCTACAATGCTCAGACATCGCCACCAGTCCGGCTTTACCGTAGTACTTATTTCAACTTCAGCGTGGCGTAAACAATAGAGGACCAGTACTATTGGTTAACTGCAGAGGTCATAAGTCTACTACTTGAAAGTAGACTTGCTTCGTAGAGACGGAAGTACCGTTGGACTTTTGACGGTTGTGAATCCTTCTGCCTCGCTTGGATGTGTAGTCGATACATGTATAAGAGAACTGTATTCGAGGCAGCTGATATCAAGTCCGGAAATGGTACGCCAACATTTGACTGGATGACTAAATATGATGGATGAATTATCTTGCAGATGGCATAGTCGGCTTTTGGATCAATGACAGGGAGAGATAGACAATTGTACATATTTGACAACAATTTCATTGTTAGCATCGAAGTCAGGGATAGTAGAAACTATCGCAATTAAGGAGACGGGGACAGAATCCGAGTCGCCAGTCGGCCATGTCTATGTTGATCGCTTACAGTATGCCAAGATAAGTCAAGAGTTGGAGAAGGATTCTTCATTCGGAATATCTGCCTTAAGATAGGGAACCGTAGCTCCCGGTATATATGATAGATAGTCCTCAGTGGATGGTTCAGACAACTTTCTATTTCATCTTTCAGTTAAATCCCTTCAAGCTACGGAGTAGAAACTCGTAGATTCTACCAACCTGCCTGAAAGCAACTACAGCAACTATGGACGTAGTTACTGGTGACTTAGTGTACTCAGTACACAATGTGACCTGTGCAGGCACGTGTCCATATTGTAACGGACCGCCACCCGTAACTTCCACCTGCATGAGCCCGTCTGGAGCCCGTTCGTTGGCCGTTTTCAGCACTGTTGGATACATCAGATGGAGGAGTCAGATTTTACACCTAGGTACTATCTGTCATCGGATGATACTTCCTTCTGCAGTACAAGTAGGCTACAAGTACCCAGCTAATCACATCAAAAAAAGAAAAGGAAGATGTTGGACTCGGTACTTCCATCATAACTACCTTTTGTATTTGTCTCTCCTGGACTTTCCTCAGGTACAACTCGGGTGACATCCGGATTCCAACAAGAGAAACTAATGTCCCAAACTAGAGCCACTAGACTCCTGTAGGCTGGACCGTACCTACGTTAGCCTCCTCGGGAACACAGACCAGGGCGTTCTGGTTGGGCTGGATGTCCGTTCCAGTTGGCAATCTGCATTGGCAATTTCCGTAATGGGTGAGAGAGAGTTAGAGGCTTTAAATATTGTTCTTCTTATTATTTTTTTGCAAGGGGGGAGGGAGGGAACTTGATTCCTTGAAATCTCCAGTTAAACGTCCATTCATCATCGAGTTCCGGGACGGATGATCTCTCCTTATGGAATACTCCGTAGATAGAATATAGTATTACTCGGTTGAGACCGTAGTCTACCAGTTCTTCGTAGTACAAGGTAGTATCGATCATGAGATAATCGACTATTGCCATTCCATTGTTTCATTTTGTGTAACCTGGTCGATGCTTCTGCTTCTGCATCTGCATTCGACACCACCACTGAGTATTTGTGTAGTAGTTTGTACTAGTGTGTACTCCGTAGGGTGTGCTTTAACTTCTTCTGCATGAGCTAGTACTCTGCAGAGTGCAGAGTATCAGTGCAGACTAGCTACAGCCTCCAGACCTCGTCTGGATATGTAACCGAAACAAAAAACTCAAAATTGAAGAAAATGAAAGACAAAAAAAAGAGCCCCTGATCAATTGATGGGCGTCGGTCAGCGGGGACATCTGATTCTAGCCTATCTACGGATTACGTCCCGTAGTCTGAGTTGAGAGTCAGGCTAGAGTATTCGCTACTATCCAGGAATTCCGCCACCCACAGAGTATCGCTCTTCTCCGTTCGAGACAAGGACCGGCTAAAATGAGAGTGATGACGATGACACCCTAGTTTTCGACAACAATAACTGTCAACTTTATTGGTCTTAATTGTGTCTCGGGTTCAGGTTGTCTTGAAATCATGGTGATACCTAGGACCGTTCAGGGTAGTTTTCCCGTTAAGCGGTACCTTACCTAACTACTACGGAGTAATTTAAACGACATTATAGTTTCTCCTTTTAACTCTTTAGACTCCCGACAAGAGTCCCAGTCTCCCAGACCTACCTTACCTAGGTAAAAAAAAAAAAAAAAAAAAAAAAAAGAGAGAAATTAGGCACTCTGTAGGAGTCATCCCAGTGGAGTTGGAGGGTCGTTTTTAGGGTCGCGGAAACGGAGACTTGGACCACGATTTTGCGATGGTCTTTGCCCCCCCCCTCCTTCTCTTCATGTCTTCTAGTCCCATGGATCAATCTATCTCTCTTTCTCCGGAGTCCAGACTTGCTTCAACTAACTTACCTGACCTCTCATTTCTTAAGTTGCCCCTCCTGTCTTGTCTCTGCCTGCGACCTTGACCCTTTGTCCGTCCGTCGTATTGTTCTTCATCTTCCTCCTGTTACAATGGTATAATCACTTGGCTCAATTCTCCCTCTTGAAATATATCACGAAGGGGGCAGGAATGCATATAGCTCATCGCAGAATTGTGTCACATCTCGACTGGTGAAGAAAAATAGAGCTCCCAACTCGAAAATATGGATGTCATGCCAGCTGCCTTCACCCCCGTGGCCTCCGGGTCCGACCTTCATTCCACTCTGAGTTCGACTGGTCCTACGTGGGCAGGCACTTCGACCTCCTCCCTCTCCTCCTCCATTAACGACTACTCCTCCTACCCCCTCATCCGCCAAGGTGACCGCACCTATCTCAGAGACCCCGAAAATCTCTATCCTTTGCCATGCGACCTGCCAGAAATTCACCGCCAGACATTGCGCTCCCTTATGCTCATTCGTGTCTTCGGAGGCCCTTTCTGTACGCCGTCGCTAAACGAGCAGCCCCCCAAAAGAGTTCTTGAGATCGCATGCGGGTCGGGATTATGGTCCAGTATGTGTCATGAGCATTTCGCCCGTCGCGGCCATCGCAACATCGCCTTTCACGGCATCGACCTCGTTTCAGTGGCCCCCGATTTGCGCAAGAAAGGTGTGAACTGGCATTTCAAGCGGCATGACCTACGCAAGCCCCGCCTGCCTTACCCGGACGATTACTTTGACTTTGTGTTCATCAAAGACGCGGGAATGTGTCCGTCTAGTCCAGCACAGCAGGCGTCCGGTCTCAGTGAACCATTGCGTGTCCTCAAATCCGGAGGGATTTTAGAAGTATGGGATTCCGACTGGGTATTTCGATCATTGCTTCCGAATCCCGCCCCAGCTCGCAAATTAGCTTCAAGAGAGCAGGAAATCGCGGACACCACCGCGACGTATACCTTTTCACCAGCCACACCCTTCACCGGAGCTCAGAACAAGTTTCTCCAGGATTATAATTCCTGGGTCGAGAAAGCCTTTGATCGCCGGAAACTCACTGCGATACCATGCGCCACAATTGGTTTGTCCTTCAATGCCGAAGTTGACATCCTTGAAAAGGTGGACAGTCGTCGTATCGCCATTCCATTGGGAGAATTGCGATGGGAACGTGAAGGGGGTCGCCCACGCAAGCAATTGACCGCGGAACAGATGTCAATCCGACGAACTGCACTTCTGACTGTTATTCAAATGATCGAAGGCATGGAACCGATGCTCATGGAGGCCAGCGGGAAAAGCAGGGATGAGTGGGACAGGTGGTGGACTGCAATGATAAACGACTTGTTTCAGAAAGGAGGCCTCGCGAGTGGAGAGTGCCTGGAAGTGAGTGCCTGGTGGGGTCGAAAAAGATAGACCCTGCTTGACGAAACTTCCGGTGAAGTCATAAAGATAAAGAGGCTTTGGTGTTTTGGATGCCAAAAAAATTCTATCGGCTATTGCTCACGGTCCTAATTGGTGATACCCCCGAGTCTATTTTGTGTTTCGATTGTATATTTTTCAGAACATTCACCCAAGGTTTCAGGCACCGCCACTGCATTTATTTATTCTCATACCGCTGTTTCAGCGTGCGGTACCGCTTCAGATAATACCTGGTTTGCTCATCAGTATCATGACTGAAGGTTCGGGTGTGTGGATGCATGATATGAACGGTCTCCTCATGATAAACGGTCGTCCAGCAGTGACTATCCTAGGATATATGTAATAATTTTCTTCTTCTGAGTGCCTCCTGTTTGTAATCGGTGTAGAGGTGGTTTGTGGAAGGGTAGGCCCTCGGCGTTGGGGGAGAGGGAAAGGTAGAATTCCTGTTCTTACATAGCTTCAATCTCTGATGCGGAAATTATTAGTAGTTGAAACTTCGACCCTAGCGACCCCCAAATTTCTGGATACGAAGACTTCAATCATACCCTTTTTGACAAACTCTGCCCTCGCTATCCCTGTCCGAATCTGTTCTTCGTCGGTCAAATGCGATTGGCCGGAGAAGGCTTTATGTAGCCTTTGCCTGAAATAATCATATCCAAGAGGGTATTCGCGCCCGAGATAGAGGAGTTCTGCAGTATCTGACTTAGTATCGAATGAGATAAACGCATATAGTCATCCGCTGAAGGCAATTCGGTTCAGGGTCGAAATAGCGGAATAGATGGAACACAAACTGCGGAGCAAATACCTTTGTAAATATTGATGACTTGTCGACGGAGCTCTGGATTCGCCATTGTTATTGCATTGACTAGGAGACCAGAAGGGTCAGTGTCAGCGTGCGATGGCTGCAAGATGTTGTCGGGATGCGGTTGTTTCTGCAGCCGGAAGATGTCGGTGACGTCGTTTGCGCGGGCGCCCTGCTATTATTATGCCGTACCAATTCAGGTGAGGACTGCGGACTAGACTACTAAGCATGCAGCTCCGGCTCAATTTATTTGACAGTATGTTTAGCTTTCTGGAGTATTGATTGTTATTATTGGAAAGCTCACACCTCAACGGTACATGGTTTCTTACTTTATTATTCAGGGATTATCCCCGCGATGTTGCGGAATATATAGCTGATGTGGTGCGGAGAAGCTTATTATGGAGACGAGTTGCTCTTCAAATCGAGCTTGCTTAGACCACCTTCATGATATTATTATCAGATGCTACTCAAGAACAGTGCTGCCTACTCTCCTGGATGACAGTCAATGGGCTCCCTGAAAGCCTATCACATCAGGTTAATACCTTCGATTGCGGCATTGCTGAAGGTGGAGAGTGGGGAGTGCCCGGGGTTAACCGTCGGCCCCATGCTTTCTCGGTGCCTTTGAGTGACAGTGCTGGGCGCTAGACCAGCAACAATCCTAGACTCTCCCCTATCCCTGTTGTACATAGTCCAGCTGAACAATGATCGCAATCCAAACACTCAAAAGGCAGCGCCTCACTGCGATCACATCTCAAGCCTCAATTTGCTATTCCCAGTTCTTCTCGACATCGCCCATCTCCCAGGATGCTCACTCCTTGGCTTCGAAACAACCCCCATCCAAACCCCACTCCATTGATCCGCGATGGCTTACCATGATCAAAAGACGGATTGGAAAATGCATGATGTTCGGCCTGAAGCCGCCACAGGTCGAGGAAGCAGGAAACATACTCCAGCGCATTGCGCGCGATTGGCGCGAGCTGATCGCCGGCAGTGAGGGCTATCTGACGGATGAATGGAGGAGGGGGTTATATCGGCAGAAGGTCGCTTGGGGAGAAATGGTAGGGCCTATGGAAGCAAAACTCTTGTAATGGAAACACGCTGATGTAGGATGTTCTGCGCTGGCGACAGGATAGCATGGTGAGCATTGCCCGATTCACCCCGTTGTTTACACCGAGATAAACTGACCATGGACCAGGGTATGTGGACTTTTCCCTATACAATTGGACGTAGCTGCAGATGGAGCTGAGCTTTGTGACACTACCATCCAGGACACGTCAATAACGTCACGTATCTCCGATACGCCGAAACCGCACGGGTATACTTCACGCGCAACTTCGCCGTACATTTAGACCCAGCACACAAGAAGGAATGGATGGATCTGGTGAGCCCAAGAGGAGTTGGCGTCATTGTCCGGAGTATCAAAATCGACTACAAATTCGTAGGTAGTCATGCCACTTGACCCTCCGATTCTTTACTGACGAGTGCACCTGCTGCCGCAGCCCATGACGTATCCCGACAAAGTCACCGTCTACCATAAACTAGTCCACGACCCGTCCTCAGCTCAGCAATCCCAGTACGCATTCTATCTCCAGGCTATGATTTTATCCGAAGCGCGTCAGCGACCTGCTGCCCGCGTGCACGAGGACATTGTCGTGTACGATTACAAGCAGAACAAGAAGACTACCCTACCGCCATTCGTCGAGGCGCAGTTTCAGACAATGTGGGAACTCCAAGAGCGAGCCAGGAAACACTGGCAGCAGCAGATCCTTGACATTGAAACGCAAGTTCGCAAATTAGAGGTGGAAAGCTGGGATCGGGAGGGCGCTGTTGAGGATATGGGTTCTGCGAGGAAATGAAAGCTGTAGGCTCTAAGGTGAGGTGACTCCTCAAGATCTTTATACTCATGTTCTAGAGGGTGTAGAATCTAGTCCTAATGCAGGACAGCCATAGACCAGGCAATGAAGAGTGACAGGGAAATGAGTTGCCTGATGTGTCTTGATCTTGCAATCATTGCTGTGTAGGTCATAAGTAAAAGTGAGATGATGATATTGTTTAGCTCCAACACAAACCAAGTCAATGTAGATCTCTCAAGACGAAGTGGTAGGACTCAAGTGGACTGGCTCTTGATCCTTTCAAGTGCATGATTACGATCCTCCAGCTGGCTGCGACCCCGTACCTCTGGTTTCTCTCTCAATTGAAATGTCGTCTTTCACGGGGTATTCCGTCCCCTGTGTGTTGCCGTGCGTGTACCTTGGCCTGCTCAAGAAAATACTCGAAAGAAGGCCCCAAGGTGCATTGTCGCGTTTCTCGAAACTATAGATTCGAAACTACAGAGTTTCGATTGTCTGGTCACCAAGGTTCCACTATCATTCGGGCATGGAACAGTCCTCTATGCTGGGGTCCCAACAGCGACACCACGATATTCCCCGAAAGAGAGTTAGACGTTATCGTTATATTTGTTACTCTAACACAATTTGAATGCCCAAATGTACAGGAAAGCTCTCCTCATTCTCAAACCCCAACTTCACTGGGCAAGATCTCTTCTCTATCCTCATCATGGAAGCTAGCTCTCAGAATATCATGCGGCCCTTTTGACCATTGCTCTAGTGTATAGTCATAAATTCGACAGGGCGATGCATGGTCTTCTCCAGAGGCGCCCAATTTTCTAGCATGGTCGAGGTGTGCCAATCAGGGGAATGCTTATTATCATTGCCAAACGCCCGCCCATCGCATGGCGCGAGGAACGCTGAATGATGGACACGCATCATCACAAGCTCAACAGATGCAACTCAGAGCGAAAGGGGAAAAAGAGCGTTGAACAACATGATGCTCGGCACTAACCTGATTCTTCCCATGTCGTTCAGCATAACCAGGTCCTGCGATAGAACGACCCTTGGACATACCCAAGCCCAGTAAACACAAGGTATTAGCGAACCTCTGTCGCCCACGTGTGCGGAGGCCAGAACTCAATGGATACGTCCAGTTCCACCACAACTTTCTCCCAGAAGGCGCTCAACCTGTCTCGAAGTTTCATTCTGCTGCGCGGGAGCGACATCTCTGGCTTGATTCCGCTTAAGACGATCGCAGGGGTAGCAAGGAAAGAACGAAGACCCTGGGATCTCTGCTGTGGTCAACCTTGGTACAGCATCTTTGGTTGAGATGGCGTGGTCATGAGGCTTGCTTTCTTCAACTGTACGCTGTCCCATGGCACTATATACCATGCCTCGATGCAGTGTCAACTATGAGAAGCTCACAATTGTGACCAAGCAACCATTTGATGAAATTGATGATCAAAGTGGAAGAATCCTTGATGGTAATGACCACTTTTGTCAACTCGAAGCTTGTAATGCTACATCGATTCGCGTTTTGAGCTCTATCAATAAGTCTGTTGCTTTTCGTTGACGAGACTCAGTTTCAACGGCACTGAGTAAAACAACCGAGGAATTGCATTCATGTTTTCAGTCCTCGCATATATAGGTACAACCCGCTGTAAAGGGAAACCGAGCCATACAGCGATGTACCATGGAAGGGTATGGCGCCATAAACAATTCTCATGTTCCCAGAACCATCGATGTACATCCAGGATCATGGATTTGATACCTTACCTAGATTTTAGCCACGAACAGAACCTTAGTATCATATGACCGTCGAATCCCGGGACATCTCCGACGAAATACCCAGAATAAGTTTGGCACGATTATCCTCTTTGGGGTAAAACCGGTCGATCATTCATCGTTATTCCCTGTTTCTTTCAGTTGATCCAATGAAGAGCGGCCTAAGAAAGATTGATTGACAATCAAGAATCAACAGTCATGTAGTTCATACTCCGTATGCTGAGTACAAAACGTATTCATCTACTTCTTTCGCTATCATGCACCGAGCCATAGCCTCGAAGGTAACTTCAGCCAGTTTCGGCGAGATACTATTAATACAAACGGTCAACTCAACCATCGGGGTCAAGAATCATTGCTCGAACGAATCTCCGCTATTCCAAATAGTTGACTGGCATCACATTTTACCAGATCAGGCGTTGTGCGCTTTGTAGCTGTCAAATTGAGAAGGTCAACCCCGCAGAGAAAGCGGAGGATTTGATCATCGGATGATCGTCTTGCTTCTAATGATTCTGGGTACAGCACATCCCCTGTGCATGGCGGCAGGAGATATACTGACAAAGAAGAGAATATTTGTATGGCCAGTTTCTGCGTCAGTGAGGGGTAACTGGGAACGCAAGCAGTAGGTCATGTACCATGGCAATTGTTGACCTATCAAGGCAGTAATCTTATTGCGATAGATGCCGGACACGTAGTCGTGCTAGAGAGCAGTGAAAGGTGATTGACAATAAGGCCGAATCATACCCGTATATCCCAGAGATAGAGGACGCTGCTGATATCAGCGAGGACTTGGTGAAACGATTGACATGGTGACTCTTGAGTGATCTGGCATCAATCATATGAGGCTCGTCTTGGACGGATTTTAGACTCCGAGTCCTTTGAGGTTGAAATACGAAGATAACAAAAGCTCGCGTTAAAAGTGATAGAGAAGTGTCATGGGAGGGTTGAAACTTGCAGGAGTTTATCGGAAAGCTGCCAAGCTAGGAAGAAGCTTACCCCGTTACCGTCGTGATCTTTTTGAAACAAGCGTCTGACTATGGAGTACATTCTAGGAGACCAACAGATCTGCCTTGTGTCAGATTGACTTGTCAGAACACAGCCACAATGTGAACGAATGAGGGTAATCAGAATATGTCAACCTAAACAATACCATGATGCTCAAGGCTACTGTGATGATCGAAGATTCATTTTCTCGTGCAAGATAGAAAATACCAGTAATTGACTCGATCTCCGGTGATGCTCCCAAAAATAACTAACCTCGGCAGCCAACCGGAATGAGGCGCTGCTCTACCATCAGCCCATCTGGTAATGTAATGTGTAATCTGTAATCTGCTGGTAAATTACCATACACATCGATCTGCCAACTGGTCAAGCAAATAGTTACTGATGCCTCAGGCCACAGACTTTACCCTTCTGGTGCTTAGCGGACGCGGAAGCCTTACTGCCTTGGGCTGAGGGTCCTTTTTCTCTCCCAAAGTTCCAGTAGGAAATCTGGCCGAGTGGCTCACATTGGCTCATATCGTCTTCTCTTTTCTTTCTTTTTCTGGTCCGGTTCTGACGATCAGTTCCAACCTTCCTCTAAACTAGACTCCTAAGGTAAAAAGGTGAAAAACGTAGATTCCTACGACGCTACTCACCTTGGGAAGACTCCCTCTCTCTCTCTCTCTCTCTCTTTCTTCCCGCCTCGTCTCTCGTCCATCCAGATTCCGAGAAAACCAAAAAAAAAAACCTCCGTTCTTTTTCCCTTCCTCTTTCCTTTCCATTTCTCCAATCCGCCCCTCCCGCCACGCTATCTCAGCCCTCAGTTTCTCATCCTCCTTCTCTACAGTCTTGTCTTGTCTTTTCCTTTTTCTCTCTTACATTTACCATTAGTCCTCTCTACCGACCGCCTTTGTCAGACGCCCCCTCTTGTCGTTCCTTTTCATCCCGCTCCCGCACTTTTGCCAACCTGATATCTCGCCTTCTCCCTTCCTGCTCGCCCCTTCCAAGTCGTCCTTCCTCCATTTGCCCTTTTTCTTCCCAAATTGTCTCCGTCTTCACTCACCCGCCTGGTCCAAGTCCTTGGCTCTAATCTGCCAAGCTGACTCGGACCTGGGGTGTTAGGCTCTTCTGTCGATGCCACGTTCATCGGCTACGGCTAGGAAGAGTCATAGCAATCGGCATGAGAATGGCAGCGCGGGTACAGGGAAGAAAGTGGCCAAACAGAAATCCAATGGGCATCTGAACGGTCATCTCAACGGCGGCTCTGCGTCCAGTTCTCTCTCCTCCTCTCAAGTCGATTTGCCCTCGTCTCGCTCTTCCAGCGATCCGGCCATCCCTACAACGACCGCAGCATCGACCAAGCTCGACGGAACGTCGGATAACTTCAAGGAGGATTGCAATGCGCCTGATCAATTGAACGGATACGCCAAGGGCAATGCCGACATGTCGTATGTGCAGAACAACGGTGTCGCCGCGCACACTGGTGGCGATGTTGCAGGACTGGCTTCGCGTCGTGCTGAGAAGTCGGCGACCGGTGCCAAGAGGTCAGCTTCGAATGCCTCGATCAACCCGCTTCAACTCGCGTCGACTATCCTCAAATCCTGCCCCGTGTACGACACGATCGCCATCCTGATCTTCCTGCTCCAACTTCCACCCATGGTTCTCACTCTGGTTCAGTTTTTGTTCGCCTCTTTGACCTTCTTGCCTCCTAGTGGTGCGTCGGCTGGTTCCTTGACGTCCAATTTCGACATCTTCCAAGGCCCCGCCGGGACTCCTTCTCTCGGTACAATGATCGCGATGGATGGATTCTGTCTTCTCATATGGGGCTTGTTCATGTGGACCTGGGCGCAAAATTTCGCGCTTGACTTGGCCCACGTCCAGGTTGCCATCACCCTAGGTGGAGGAGGATTTGGAAAAAACGGGGGGGTAAACACCCTCTGTGTTGGTATAGTTTTGATAATGCACCTTGTACGGAGCAAAGGTATACAGGATTTTGTTATAGGTCATCTTCTTTCCTCGAACATCATCAGTCCCGATATGTTGTCGCAATATTCGCATCTTTTGCCTACTGAGTTTCGACGCACTGAACCGCAGACGTCGCCGAGCTGGCTTCGGAGTTTACTCGCTGTCCATATACTGGCCCAAGCAGGCACCGCCATGGCGAGACGGTCAATGGCCAAGAACAGAACGCCTAATCCTCCTCGCACCGGCAAGCGCATCGACACGGAAGCGTCCGCCGGCTCGCAGACACAGATCGATTCTGCCTTCGAGTCAGGGGCCAGTGTTTCGTCCTATATTGGTGCTGATGGGCAACTCATCACTCCGACCGCACAGAAGGATGGTAGGGATCGACTACTCTCGGCGAAAAAACGCAGGAGACAGGCGAATCAGGTGCGGAGTCGTCAGCCGTTCTGGGCAGCACTGGCAAGCACAAAGATAACCGTCATGAGAGAGTATGAACATTCTAGGGCTTTGTCGAAGACAGCTCGCGGTCTTCCCATGACCGAGAGTGATCTTCAAGGTGTTTCCCTGGACGATGGACTTGTATGGATTACGGAAATCGATGGTTCGACTATTAAATTTGCGGCGGGTGATTTTTCTTCGGCGGATGATTCAACCGGTTCGGGCGCCTGTGAAGCTGGATGTATAGGGAGCGAGGATATGGAACCGTTCTACGTCTGCGTGAATGGAGCCCTTTGGGCCACCGCCACGATATGCAGAGTGCACGATGCGCCAAAAGGATCGAGTATGGTACACTGGCGGGGCGAGATTTCCGGTCTAGCCCCAAATTGTGCCTACACTTGCTCGTTCGTGCGGAGCGATACCGATGAGGAGATATGCGTCATTAGTGTCAAAACTCCTGCGACCAATGATGCGGAACAAGGTAAGACCCTTTGTATCTTTCACATGCTGGGATGTTTTATTCATTCTTCAAAGCAGCAGTCTCTTTGGTGTCAACTCCACCGCAGCCATCGTATCGTCCTTCGTCCCCAACGACTACGCTGAAAAACTCTATCGTCAACGCTGAAGCCAAGTTGAATGAGAAGCGGTCTCGGCTCAGAAAGGCTAAGAACGATCACAAGCTTGTCATTTCCAAAATCAGGAAGGAGCTTGACAATTACAACCATCGTCTACACAGCGGAACAGACGAAAACAGGCAGAAACAACGCTCGCTGCAACTGGAAAGGAACATTCGGCAAACGGAAGAGGCCACTGCCTTGCTTGAGGATCAGCTTGACAACCTGGAAAATGTCCCTGAAGAAGAACTTCGAGAATGGTCGGATCAGAAAGCCAAATACGAACACGAGCTGAATTTGCTCAATTCGGCAAAGGAGGAACTCGTCTCCGCTCGGTCCGCTGTTGCCCGTGAAGTGTCCTCATTGGAAACTGAGTTGAGCTCTGCGATTCAGAGGCGGGAGCGTCTTCAAAGCCGCCGTACCAGGATCAACGAACAATATGAGAGGATTGTCTCTGCTAATGCGCAAGGGCTCAATGAACGCGAGCGTCGCGCAGCAGAACAATTCGCCCGAGAGCAGGATCAAGCAAAACTCGAAGCAACTTTCAACGAGCAGTTTGCCAGTATTGGGCAGTCTGTGCAAGAGTACCAGTTGCGCGCACAACAAATCTGGCAACAATGTGAAGCTATCGAGCAAGCCATCCAGCAGCAACACCGGCAGATGCTCTTGGATTCTGGTCCATTGACCCCTGAGGGTAATTTGCCTGGGACGAATCCGTTCTCCGAGGCAGCCTTGCCACTGGGCGCATTGACGTCGACTGCGCCGAGCAACAGATCACTGCTAGGGCTCAGTTTCCCGCCTTTGAAGTCCAGTCCTCTTCAGACCGCGTCTTCTCCGGTTGGTGCATCATCTTCTCACCCCACGAGTCCGGTGCAGCAGCCGTCGTATCTCAACTTCCCATCTTCCCCCTTCGTCAACGCCAGCTCTCACCTCGATTCGGACTTTGTCTATCGTGATCGATCTTTCTCGAACCGGTCTGCCCGGAGCAGCCTCTATGGCTCTGACTTCATGGACTCGAGTCGTCGTCAGCCTTTCCAGCTCGACTTGTCTGAGTTGCTTGCTGACAAGAGAAGCTCGGGATCCGATAGCAATACCGCTCTGAATTCGGGATTGAGACCTGCTTCCAGCCCTTTTCAACGGGCGGGTAGCCGTGGAAGCGGTAGCGGAAGCAATGGAAGTGGTGGAAGTGGTAGCGGAAGCGGCAGTCCTAGCTCTGTGTACGGTAAAACCAACTAGGACATGGGCAGGTTCAGGAGGTTTGTGCAGAGTCTTCTGTGCGGATCCCAAGGGTACTCCTGGTTGCGTGTTTTCTGTCTCCAATTTCTGCTTGTGTTATTCTCTCGGTGTGATTTGGTACTTGATGTCGAGATGAGATTCCCAGTTCTCTCCGACTTCTAGTGCTCCGCTCAACTCCCGTCGCCTGAGAACAGTCAATCCTGCGTCCTTCATCCTGTGTAGATTTCTTGGATAAAAAGAATCAAAAAGCCTACCACTTGCCCTGACTTGCTCGTTCCGAAGTGTCCAATATCATTCCTCTGTTGGTCAATCTTCGGAGTGTGTGTGTGTGCCCCGTCGCGATCGTCAGAGTTTGATTTCTCGTAGAGAATCTGCCTACAAGAGCCGTCTTAGTTCGATTGGTAGTATTATGCCACCGTAGTCAACCTGCAAAGGTGCGAAAGGTAGATAATTTTACACTTCTTTCTGCGTCGTTTTGATAAGTGATTTATTTTCTTTTCACTCGTAAGGGAAATTCTATGTACATAAGCGCCAAAGACCTGTATATACGGCGCAAATCTTGGGGTGACACATCGCGCTCTTGATGGACATTATTGATTGCATTCACCTGTCAGTCGATGCCAGGATGCAATCATACGAGTGTGGGCGGAGTTATCGAGACCCTGTTTGAAACCCCTATTCTAGGTCTCGATAGTTATATTTCATGGCCCATTTCCCAGAATTTGGTGTTAGCATATGTCAGGCATAAATCCTCTGCAGAGCCGGACGTTACTGACGTCTCCGCCTCTGATTCAGGAAGGTGCCGCGAGAGCGCTTGCACGACGGTTCCAACAACGATTGTGTGGTCGTTGACCTCTACACGTTGCGGATTGAGCTGGCACTCGAGCACAAATGGAAAGTCCTCGACGCTCTCCTCCTCGGCGGAACTCGTCTGGCCCGTCTGGCGGATGGCTCTCCGTCGCAGGATGGGGAGGGGTCTCATGACAGACCCGTCGGCGGGGACATGCTGCGCGAATTCAAAGTCTCCCTTTCCGCTCAGGAGCGCCAGATTGTGGTTTCCCCTGGAGAAATCCCGGGCCAGGGCTGCGGTTGCTCGGGTCGGGGCTAGGAGATGGACGAGGAACCGGCCTGAGGATTGGAGGGCGGTTAGGGTCTCCGATGGTCGGCGCACGTTGAAGGAGATGACGGGTGAGGGATGGAGTGTCACCGTGTTGAAGGAGGAGACGGTCATGCCGCGGAAGGCTTTCTCAACGGGGCCCTGCGGATCTGTGGCTGTGATGATGGCGACGGGATAGGGTACACGGCGCATGAGCAGGCGGATTTGATCGGTCAGTGAAAGCGCGGGGCGGGCTGAGGCCGGATTCTTGGGCTCGCTGGGAGCTTGCGAAGCGGGAGCCGATGTTCCGTATTGTCTGCGAGGCCATGGTTGCGTAGGTGCTTCGCATCGGACAGGGAAGTTGGGCAGTCGGTTAGGTAGAGCTAGAATGGATTGTTGCTCTGGTCATGTTTGGTTAGACGATGAACAAGTGGAAAGTGCAAGGAATCGGGGCAAGTCTTCCATACCAACCCTGATATTTCTGGCCGACAGCACGGATAGCGAATATGGGAGCTTCATCCCGCCGATGGGAGAGCGGACGGAGCTCTCGATGAGGTGGAGCTCAGGGTATAATGTGCGAATGTACGAGGGAACAATGGGAAAAAAGACCATCAAGTCTCTTCACACTCATCCTGAAAGCCCAGCAAATCCTTCGACAACCTTCAATTGACAGCCATTATCACATTGGCACCATATTGTATCTAACGCAGAAACCTCCGCGGCCCCAGACGATGAGAAAAAACAGCGGAGGCTTTACTGCTTACATAACCCCAGATCCATGAACGATCCGCGAAATTTCTCGGCCAAAACCCATCGACCGATAAACCATTACAACAGCGTTCGCGATACCCAATCCAATTCAAACCCCAGCCATCGAACTATCCTCACTCTACATATCCCGGGCTCCCTATCAGCAAACGCAAATGTCAATCCACATCCCCCTCCGCCGCAGCGCGGTCAGCACCGCCCGAGTCCAGACATCCGCCACCTACATCTGCTCGCAATGTCGACATGCCACACTCCTCCGGCGCCCCAAGCGCCCCTACACCTTCACGCAGCTCATCACCCTCTCCGACGGCAGCACCTTCACACACCGCACGACTTCCCCGACACCCGTCTACCGCTCGACCCGAGACACGCGCAACTCGCTGCTCTGGAACCCCTCGTCCAGCAAGCTGATGAACGTTGAGGAGGACGAGGCCGGCCGACTCGCCGCCTTCAGAGCCAAGTTTGGGCGGAGCTGGGATGCGAATACGCCTGTTGAAGGGGAGACGGATACCAAGGCCGCTGCTAAGGGCAAGGAGGCTGCTGCCGCTGCTGCCGCTGAGGCCGCGCTGGCGGAGGAGGAAGACGACAATTTGCTTGACCTGATTAGTTCGTTTGGCCAGGAGATGGAGCAGGAACCTCCGAAGAAGAAGAAATAGGTTGATCCTTTTGGGGCTGAGGCTACGGTGGATTTGTGAGTGTATGATACGCTAGGAAGGGTGGATGGCTACAACGCAATCTTCATCTGGGTGCGTTGATGGAGGAGGCCTATTTGATGTTTGTATGGAGATTTCTCTATGTTCTTTCTGGTTGCACGGTTTCTTACTCATCTTTGTCGGTTTTATGGCCTACGTACATGTACATCATACCATCTGAAGGGAATTTCAGCATACTATTTGAATTGGACCTTGAACATGTCACTTTTACTAGGGCTTGAAAGAGTCAACTATAGCTTACACGGAAGACAACATAGAGACAGTCCGATGGAAATAATAAAATGAGAATCGGGTTCAGAGGTTCAGAGAAAGCATTAGCCATACACGCTTCGAATGGTATCTGGGTTGCGTGCTCGGCGCGAGATAGAACAAGTGAGACACTCTCATGCACAGCGCGGCTTAAACGGCTATCGCAGCTCACCAGCGGAACGATACTTCAATCCGGTGTCAAATTAGGCCAAAACATCATCGCGATTCAGTTGTACATGGCGAGAAAGGTCAGGAGCTAGCCCACGATGAGCTACGTCGCCTCTTCCGCAGGCACTGGAGCTGTACCGGTGGCTTCGTCTGTCGGCGGTTGCACAGGAGCATTGCCTGCAACAGGAGGAGGCGCAAAGAAGGGAATACCCTCTTCACCGGCATCCAACTGCAGGAGGAACGTCTCCCACAGCTCGATCAACTGTAACACTCATCAGCGAATCGGATCAGAAGCTTGACTAGCTCGGCAAAACTCACCTCCTTCTGCGCCTCCACTGCACTTTCCAGGAACGTCTCAACGCCAGACTTGAAATCCTCCACCTTTTCTTTCTCAAACCTCTGCAATTCATTACGCATCAAACGGCCCATATCGTCGAATAACAACCTGGCCTGGTGCACCTTTCTTTCCGCGTCGGCCACATCGGCGTTGGCTTGATTGAGGCGATCCTGCTGCGTCTTTCCTTGTCTGAGTAGCTTCTCCTGGGTATTCTTCCGTTTCTGCAGCTCAGACTCTGCCGCATGCCAGCTATGGAAGGCTTTTTGTCGCTGAGAGAAAGCTGTCTTGACGCTTCCAATGATGCGAAGGTATTCATCGATGGTGATTCCTAGTGTCAGAACATCCTGCTGTGCTTGGCGCTCATAAAGTTCCTTGATGCGCAACTGCAAATCCGACAGTCCGTCCAATGGACTGGAAAGGGCCGGGGACAACTCGACAGCCGCCAAGGCATGAAGTGAAGACGAAAAATCGCCAGCCGCTTCTGCCAATCCCTTACGTTGCGCGACCACGACGTCAATCGCCTTCAGCAAAGCTTTGAGCTGATTCTCCAGCGCGTCCATGTAGATTTTCCTATCATGAAACCACTATTCGACTCAAGTTAGCTTGATGACATGACAGCAAGCAAACCACAAAGGAAGGACTCACATCATCGTGTTCTACGAACTTTCCACCTCCACCTACGCTGATTCCAAAGGAGCTGAACATTCCCTTGTTCTGACCTAGATCCGGTTCCCTGTTCTCCTTGTTCTTGACATCCATATTAAACGATTCACTTTCCAGGAATATCTTCAGATCCGCGTCATGCTGCAGGATAGGGTGTGTCGCAATCTTGTTGAGCATGCGCTCAAGTGCAGCTCTTCTAGATTCAACGAAGTTCGTATCAAAACGGCCAACAGCTTGCTTTTCAGGCGGCGGAGGCACAACAACACCGGGATTGTTATTGTGCATGGAATTGTAGAGCCATAAGAAATCACGGTATCTGCGGCTGACGGTAAATTCTGGTTGTCGGTACGCCTTCGACGTTGTCTGTACCCAGTATCAGCGTCTTTGCGCCCCATGCATGAATGAAAATGTAGAGAGGGAGTTTGACCTTCGTTCGAACTTGGTACACGATGTGACTACTTGTCAGATCTCCGACCTTGTGCGGATCACCCACTGTGATTTGAAATGTCGGCTTTGCAGCCTCTTCAATGCTGATACTGGGCTGAAATTGTCTCTTCGTCTCGTCCGCGTCTGTCGGGGGCTGTACGGGTGGCGGTCCCCTGAACCCCGCACCATCCTCTTCCAGGTGTACCGAGTCTCCCAGCCCACCAGTACTAGATCTTTGCGATGTAGACGACGTCGGACGAGCACCGCGACCTGCAAAAGGTTCCTTCTGGGGTGGTGTTGGTGCTTGCTCGTTGACTGGGGCGAGACTTTCGTCGGGCTTGTCTCCGAGCGGTCCAAGCGGATCTACGGCGTCACCCACAGCTTCCAGCTTGGTCGCCTGCGCGCTGATTTTGCGAGCACCTCGCGGGTTTCGTCGAACAGGTGAACGGATAGCGCTTGGGCTGGCTGGTTGTGTTGATCTTTCTGGGGCTACAGAAGCGATGAGCTCATGTCTCGGATGTGACGAGGGAGTGCGCGGTACGTATTACACCGAATGAACATACCAGCGTCTTCAGTTTCCGGCCTCTGTGTACCATGACTTGACTGCGAGGGCACATCTATGCTTTCAATCAGAGATGGCAATTTGGAGTTGAATGGTGACAGTGCTGCCTGCTTACCGCCCCACGGGGAGTCTCCAGCGTCCAGATCCATGATAGCTGTATGGGTTTGACGGCAATGGGTGCTAATATTTCAGAGATGATGAGACTAACGGTCTGGGTGAAAGACTCGAAACGACAACAAGACCTAGAGCCGACGAGGGTTATCGATTGTAGTTGACAGCTGGAGATTGTATGTAGAAGTCAGACGGATGATCCGCGCGGTCGTCCAACGACTAAGTTCCGGCCTGGCTCCCCCCGCCAAGGCTTCCCTAGTTATGTTGCATAGAAGCAACTGCTGAGCTTGATACCATTACTCCGTACTTTTCGACGAAACAAGTGATCGAGAGCATAATTGATACTTATTGAGCTTGTATTACAGTGATGGATGTGGTTCCGCAATTTGTCTCCTTCGGCGAATCGTGGAATGCATATGTCAGATACGCCTAGATGTTTTCGCTGGCTTAAGGCCTAATCGTACTGAGTAGTCGTTGACCTGCCGAGAGGTTCTCAAATTTCTATAGACAAATTTCATGTAACGTCATATACAATGTGCATCCCTAGTCATCATATCGCATGCTTCGTCGTTATTCTGCTGAGGGACCCCCTTCCCTGAGCTATGTCCTCATCCTTAGATAGTCGTTAGTTGGATTGCGCGTTTATTTGACCCATGGAAGACCAAGCTTGTGCATTTCAACAGCAAGCTGGAAGAGGTAATCCAGGCTCTCGCACTGCGTCTTGGCTTTGGCAACGTCATCGCCCCAAACATAACTGTACACATCCATCAGCTTCATGGGCTCAATGATAACACGAGCGTATACAACTCACATTCCATGTCTCCTCACCAGGACAGCGTAGGTGTCCGGGTACTGGTCCATGGCCTTCTCCAAGCTTCCGGTGAGATCCTCCTCGAACGCAGTGTTCTCGATGATGGGAATCTTAAGTGTGTCGAAGAACCCCAGCATGCCCTTGCCCTTGCCTCGAGGAATACCCTTGATCTGCTCAATGTTGCTGATCTCGAAGCAAGCGTCGGGACCCTTCTCACGCTCGACCAGGAGCGTCACCAACACAGCCCACTGGGAGTGCGTGTGGATGCAGCAGCCCGCACCACGCTCGAAAGCAGTAAGGAACAGTGGAGTGCATGCGGACGGCTTCAGTTCGAGGGGCTTGCGGATGTACTTGCGGTCGGAGGGAGGGTACTTGGGAGTAGGGAACTCCAGGACAAAGATATTGTGCGGCTGAATCAATTCCTTCTGAACTCCAGAAGGCGCGATGAAGATATGGTCGCCGCGACGAATCGAAGTCTGTGCATTAATAGATACTCTGGTCAGCGGCAGTCGTCTTCCGCGACCAAGGACGTGACTACTCACTCCACCACCAGTACCAGTGACCCAACCCCAGTTGTAGAATTTGCGGCAGAGCTCGGGAATCAGGTTGGCGGGGTGCTCTGGGTCAGAGGACTGGACCAGATGGTCATTGTTGTTGTTTTCAACTTCTTGTGCCATGCTGCAAGCTCAATTCCGATGACAGACCGAGGGTTACACAGTCGATTGCCGAGATAATGGTATAAGGTCAAACAATTACACTTGTAGCAGAGTCAATGTGACTCAAGATTTGCCCAGATGAGGGTAATTGGAATCAAAAGAGCAGATAGATAGAGGGGAAATATTTTTAGCGGGGACTTTATCGCGCCATCTCCGTTGACTTATCCGTAGTAGATTGTCCAATTGACCAGGCGGTAGACTCGTGGAATTATCCATAGTGGAATCAATCCTGGACATAACTTGACCAGAACAATTGTTACAAGGGTTAGACTGTGATATAGAAGTAAATTGAGCTCAATGACCTGTCTGACTATTATCTATCTGCAGATAGCAGAAGCAGATACTCCGTTAGATCGATTCTGGTTATTGACAGAACATTGGAGAAGCACCGCTAAACCACAATAGGCAGGCGGGACCTTACCCCAAGAAGCAATCAAGGCTCACAGCACGAAGAGGCCACCTTGAACTTCCCGGCTCTGGAAGCACTGGAAGTACTGCTTTGTCACTTGCATTGTTGCTGTCTACTCTAGTTGCTCTGAGTAGTAGTTAGTGGTACCTGGCCTCACTTCTATCCCTTCTTACTACCTATATAACAATTATTCTCGCCCAGTTGTCCTCTTCTTCCCTTCCTTCCCTTACTTCATTCTGTGTGGATCATCTTGTGGTACAGCTTCCCCTTCCCCAAACAAATACTTCATTGTTTCCTCTACGGAGGTTCAATTGCTTGCTTGCTTGCTTACTTACTTGTCTACCATTCGTATTCAGAGCTTCTCGGGTAAATCTAGTCTCAATCCCGTCATCGTCCATCATGCGTCTCAACGCAGCTATCACTGGCGCCCTCGTCTCCTCGGCCACTTTGATGGGCCAAGCTCACGCTGAGGAGACTGAGAAGAAGGCGGACGCTACTTCGCTCGTGGAGAAGCCTACCTTCACCGTAAGTCGCGTCCTATCATCCCACTATCCCCCACTGTCGCTCCGCATCGCTGACGATCGACTCTCCATTAGCCTACTACCCTGAAAGCTCCCTTCCTCGAGCAGTTCACCGGCGATTGGGACTCGAGATGGACTCCGTCTCACGCCAAGAAGGAGGACTCCAAGGCGGAGGAGGATTGGGCCTACGTCGGTGAATGGGCCGTCGAGGAACCTACCGTACTGAACGGCATGGTCGGCGACAAGGGTCTGGTTGTCAAGAACGTCGCGGCTCACCATGCCATCTCTGCGAAGTTCCCCAAGAAGATCGACAACAAGGGCAAGACCCTGGTTGTTCAGTATGAGGTCAAGCCACAGAGTAGGTCATATCAGCTCCTGACAATTGCATGGAGTATACTGACGCTTGCCCACAAAAGACTCTCTTGTTTGCGGTGGTGCCTACATGAAGCTCCTCCAGGAGAACAAGAAGCTCCACGCCGAGGAGTTCTCCAACGCTACTCCCTACGTGATCATGTTTGGTCCCGACAAGTGTGGTGCTACCAATAAGGTATGAAATGAGAGCCCTTGGTTACCGAGGCAAGGTTCTCCCCCCGAATAATCACTTACAGTACTCTAGGTTCACTTCATTTTCCGTCACAAGAACCCCAAGACCGGCGAATACGAGGAGAAGCACCTGACGGCTCCTCCTGCCGCTCGTACCTCTAAGCTCACCGCCGTGTACACTTTAATCGTCAAGCCCGATCAGTCCTTCCAGATCCTGATTGACGGCGAGGCTGTCAAGAACGGTACCCTGCTTGAGGACTTCAACCCCCCCGTCAATCCAGAGAAGGAGATCGACGACCCCAAGGACAAGAAGCCCGCCGATTGGGTGGACGAAGCCAAGATCCCCGACCCTGAGGCCAAGAAGCCTGACGACTGGGATGAGAACGCTCCTTACGAAGTCGTGGACGAGGAGGCGACTATGCCCGAGGACTGGCTTGAGGACGAGCCCACCAGCATCCCTGATCCCGAGGCCGAGAAGCCCGAGGACTGGGATGACGAGGAGGACGGTGACTGGATTCCTCCTACTGTTCCCAACCCCAAGTGCAACGAAGTCTCCGGATGTGGCCCCTGGACTCCTCCCATGAAGAAGAACCCCGCCTACAAGGGCAAGTGGACCGCTCCTATGATCGACAACCCCGCCTACAAGGGTATTTGGAAGCCTCGCAAGATCCCCAACCCCGCCTACTTCGAGGACAAGACTCCTTCTAACTTCGAGCCTATGGGCGCTGTAAGTTCCTTCGTTCTGTGTCCGCAGTTGTTTTCTCCATTCTGACAAGCGAGCAGGTTGGTTTCGAGATCTGGACCATGCAGAACGACATTCTGTTCGACAACATCTACATTGGTCACTCCATTGAAGATGCTGAGAAGCTCCGCAAGGAGACCTTTGATGTCAAGCACCCCGTTGAAGTTGCTCTGGAGGAAGCCTCCAAGCCCAAGCCTGAGGAGAAGGGTGCCACCCCCAGCGTCAGCTTCAGGGAGGCCCCAGTGACATACGTCCGTGAGAAGGTTGACTACTTCGTTGGTCTTGCCAAGCAAGATCCCGTCAACGCTGTCAAGCAAGTTCCTGAGGTCGCCGGTGGTCTGGGAGCCCTCCTTCTGACCATGATCCTCGTCATTGTGGGCGCTGTTGGAGCCAGCAGCCCTGCCCCTGCCGCCGCCGCTAAGAAGGGCAAGGAGGCCGCCACCGCCGCCAAGGAGAAGGCCAGCGAAGCTGTCAGCTCTGCGGCAGACACTGCCAAGGGCGCAGCGACCAAGCGTAACACCCGGTCGTCTGCCCAGTAAAGCAGATGTGCCAATGCTTGGGGAGGAGACGGGCGATGATAAGTCACCAAGACGCAAACTTGAAAATGGAAAGGTGACATTGAAGATTCCAATTTTATATTTATTGCAGCGTTCAATTAGTCGTTGTACTCTGATATCCTTGGTTTTTCATGGTCGGTAAGGCAAGATCTCGAGAGAAGATGGCCACCTGTGACGAGACATGAGAACAAAAGAACACCATTGCCAAGCTCCGAAGGAGTGGTAGATGCGATGGATTCTGTAAAGTAGTATTGAATTTGAGATAGCGAAATTTCATCCAATTTTAACTTTTAGCCATAGTCGTGCCGAATTCCTTTGGACGTACGAAGTACTCTGGTCAAGATGCCAATTATCAGTGCTGCAAGTGATGCAGACACTTCATTCCAAGTACAGGAAGCCTGACGGATATATCCTGAGTAAGATAGGCTGCGAGAAGGATATAGAGAGTAGAAGATAGACTCAGATAAGAGGGACAGACTGCAGGTACATTGTAGTGCGGAAATGGTACGGGTTCAGGACTTCATTCATCAAGCAGGCAAGTTGTTCCAGTCGTTACGATTGGTTTTTGTCGCCGAAGGGTGTTCGGTTGACCTCGGTGCTTCTAAAGTGTTTGGATCGCAGACAAGCCCGGAATCCGTCCAACAACAACAGCTCCCTTTCTTGATAATCCCCGCGGACTTTCGACTTATATCCTGCTCTATTTCCCCCACAGGCTCTCTTTTAATCCTTTTCATTTTATCAACTACTCCAGACTCCAGTTTCACACGCTTATCATCTTCAACTCTCCCCTACCCTCGCCCTTCTCTATTCATCATGGCCGCCAGTCGGTCCTTTGCTCGTTCCCTCCCCGCTCTCCGCGCTGCTTCTCCCCGCACGGCCGTAGCCACTGCCTCCTCAGCCAGGATAGCAGCTTCATCCGCAGCGCGATCGCTGTCGACTTCCTCAGGCTCCTCTTCCTCAGTATTGGCTTCTCAGCGGGCTTCTGCATCAATGTCGACATCATCATCGTCCTTTGTTGCTACCCGCAGACTACACGCCACTGCGCAGCAGCTCGCCCCCGCAACCACTTCCGCGGCTACAACCGCCACCGAGTACCCGACGGATCACACCCCGATCGCCAACCCCATCGATACCACCAACTTTATTGATAACGAGTTTGTGTCTTCCAAATCCACCACATGGATTGACCTGAATGACCCTGCTACCAACAATCTCGTCACCCGCGTGCCTCAGAGCACCGATGAGGAGCTGCGTGCCGCCGTTGCCTCCGCTGAAAAGGCGTTCCCTGCCTGGCGGGCAACCAGTATTATCGCCAAGCAGCAGATCATGTTCAAGTTTGTCAACCTCATCCGTGCAAACTGGGACCGTCTCGCGGCGTCCATCACCCTCGAGCAGGGTAAGACCTTTGCCGATGCCAAGGGTGACGTCCTTCGCGGCCTGCAAGTCGCAGAGACCGCTTGTGGCATCACCACCCAAATGACCGGCGAAGTCCTGGAAGTCGCCAAGGATATGGAGACCAGAAGCTACAGGGAGCCCCTGGGAGTGGTTGCAGCTATTTGCCCTTTCAGTAAGCCCTTGCCTTGTACCTTTTGCCTGGTGGATACCCCCGTCCTTTCTCCGAGACTAACCGCTCCTCCCCAGACTTCCCCGCAATGATCCCTCTGTGGTGCATCCCTATCGCAACGATCACCGGTAACTGCATAATCCTCAAGCCTTCGGAACGGGACCCCGGGGCTGCCATGATCCTGGCTGAGCTGGCCCGGGAGGCCGGCTTTCCTCCAGGTGTGATCAACATCGTCCACGGCTCCGCCAAGACCGTTGACTTCATCATCGACGAGCCAGCCATCAAGGCCATCAGCTTCGTTGGTAGCAACCGTGCGGGTGAATACATCTACACCCGGGGCTCTGCCAATGGCAAGCGTGTCCAGGCCAACCTGGGTGCGAAGAACCACGCCGCGGTGTTGCCCGACTGCAACAAGAACCAGACCCTGAACGCCATCGTCGGTGCTGCCTTTGGTGCCGCTGGACAACGGTGCATGGCCCTGAGCACGGTGGTCATGGTCGGCGAAACCAAAGAGTGGCTTCCTGAGATGGCCGAGCGAGCCAAGGCTCTCAACGTCAACGGGGGTTTCGAAGAGGGTGCCGATCTCGGCCCTGTCATCAGCCGCGAGAGCAAGAAGCGCATCGAAGACTTGATTGCCAGTGCCGAGCAGGAGGGTGCCACCATCCTTCTGGATGGCAGGGGCTACAAGCCTGAGAAGTATCCCAACGGCAACTTTGTAAGCTCAACGCTCCTATCATTAAACCCTTTCTGTTTCGCCTCCGCTAAACCATGCCCTCATAGGTCGGCCCAACTATCATCACTAACGTGACCCCCGACATGAAATGCTACAAGGAGGAAATCTTCGGCCCCGTCCTCGTCTGCCTCAACGTCCCCACGCTGGACGACGCCATTGAACTCATCAACAAGAACGAGTATGGTAACGGAGCCGCCGTCTTCACTCGCTCCGGCTCGACCGCCTCGCGCTTCCAGAAGGACATCGAAGCCGGCCAGGTCGGCATCAACGTCCCCATCCCCGTCCCCCTGCCCATGTTCTCCTTCACCGGCAACAAGAAGAGTATCGCCGGTGGCGGTGCAAACACCTTCTACGGCAAGCCCGGCCTGCAATTCTACACCCAGCAGAAGACTGTGACCAGCCTGTGGCGCAGTGAAGATGCCATTAGCACCAAGGCCCATGTTGTGATGCCCACACATTCATGAAAGTACGTCAAGTTTGAAGAAACAAAAAAAGGAATATATAGCAGGGAAAGAGCGAAATTGCAAAACTAATATTCGATATACCGTTTGATGACATGCATGTCTCTGGATCTCCCTCGTCTTTCGGGAATAAATTGACCTTTTTTTTTTCCTGCATAATTGAACAAGCATAGTCCTTTATTTTCGATTAGCTTCCAAGACTTTTGTATCACCTGTTAGATGGACGGAAAATTGTACCGAGCATCGGCTGTGAGATCGTGTGTCTGAAGTCAGCTGTATGATCGTCATTGCCTAGTATATTGGTTCACCATATCTTGTAGGTGGTTACCTACCTTAAGTACTCTGTATCCAGTCTCTGCACACCAAAAGAGGGCAGAGGCTGTGATGAGGTAGTCTTGATTGACAGAAGGGACATCAAATGATCCAGGTATCAGGTGCACCCCGTCTGTCTCGAACGTCATTGATTGCGATATAGCTATAACCAGCTACCGACATGGCCATCACGTTCAATGTGCTATTCTGCGCAGACTATGTCGAAGAGTTCAGTTTGGTCATGCCTTTTCTCTGGAAAAAGAATGTAGGATATATCACAAGTTGCAAACTTTCAGAAAAAGGGAAAAATGAGAGACGACTTCTATAAGAGTTTGAGACCAATCCGAAGTTGTAGACTTGTAGGAGTCCTCTTAGAAACAATTCAATTACTCACGATCGGAAATGAGCTAGATAGCTCCGCCTATTCCTTCTTTACCTGTCTCCGGTGTGTACGCTAGGTGCCCGGGTAACTTAAGTAACTTATAAATCAGTCTGGACAAGACCCTGACAGCCCAAGACTACGTGGATGCAAGTAGAGATTCATGAACACATAGTCGATTCTATAACTAACAATAGGTCGATAATCGTGGTTTCCACCAAGGGCCGCGACATGTAATGAGGCGTTCCATAGCTCAAGAGAGAGCAACACAAGTCCTCCTGACCCTTAATTAGGGTCTATGACCGATATCTGTCCCATGGCACCATGCTTCATGGTCCAGTGAAGAGGAAAAAATTTTACGCATCCAGCTTCTTGACAAAGATATAAACAAGACGAGCCATCTTGAACTCGCCATCCTTGGCGACAACCACACGGCGAGTGTGGTAACGCTGTCCGTTGATTGTCTCAAAGCCCCAAATCTATACAAAGGTTAGTATCTGTCGCCATCTCAGGCAAATGTGCATCAAGATATGCGAACCTGTTCTGCGGTCCAGCCGTATCCACTGTCCTGATTAACGACGAAGCTCTGCAGGAAGAGACACTCGCCTTCACCATACTCCTCGCCCTCGTTGTCAACGAGGAAACCCTCGCACGGGCTACCATCTGCAAGGATCTCGCCCCGCAGGAACTGCTTCACTTTGGGGTCATCGATCTTGGTGTTGATATCGACGGCAGGGCGGACTTTGCCATCATCGCCCTTAGAGCCGCGGAGCAGCCGCGACCGCCCCATGATCTTGCCAAAAATGTGGTCGTTGTGCTCGCGCTCCAGCCAATCCGTTTGGCGTTTCTCGCTTGTGCCCTTGAGACCTCCTGTCAGGACCTGATCGATATCGATGTGCACCAGCTTCGCATCTTCCGAGTCGGGATACTCCTTGACAATTAGGGTCACAGTGGCGTATGAGATAGCTTTGCGAGTGACCCAGCTGACACCTTGCTGGATGAGGACATCAGTAAGAATGTATTGAGCTCAAGAGACCAGAGAATATGGCTTCATGACATACCAATGTGAGAACAGGGTCGGTTGGATCGGAGATGTTTTTCTCCTGGATTTAGCATCTACAGTCAGCAAGATGCGAAATAGAACTTGCGAAGAATCCAGGGCTCATACCATCGTCCACTCTCCATTGAGGTTCTTGATAGTGACGTCTGCGGGGGCAGCCATGATGGATGATGAGGGGTAGTTGATAACAGATAATAGGGCCTAGATGGATAGGAATGAGTTCAAAGCAATTGCAGATATCACAGGAAGGGAAGGATGATGTCTTTCGACAGTTAAAAGAGGGAGAAATGGGATTAAAATAAGGCAGTCTGGGGGAAAGTGATCACCTTCGCTTTCATGTGCTTGCCTGGGCATCCTCTCCACAACTCCCAATTCAGGAACAGTTCCCGCCTCGCTCCTTCCCCCGCTTACCACCGAGGCTGACACGTGCAAGACAACCTCTCAACTCTCCTTTACGTCCTGACTACTGCAATATCTTTACTGGATAAGTGGATATAATCCTGTCATCTCATTTATCATCAGCCAGTCGGACAAACACCCCTGTCAGAGTGACTGTGGCTGTGGGTTGTTACTATTAGGCTCATTGCGACTACATGGTACCTGAATTTACGGGATAGATGAGACATTCGATGCCATGTATAAGTGCAGCAGCTGCAGCCTTTGAAGTCGATCACAATATGGCCCATCTCAGATCTCATGGCACACCCAAATATCCCGTTCTATCCAAACTTTGGCATGACGCAGTGACCAGTATCATATGAAAATGTGGAATCAATAAAAGGTGGAGAAGAGACTGAGACTGCCAAGTGTTACTGTTGATGGTACCTGAAAGTTCAGGCCTCAAGGAGGTGGATACCCCTTTCACGTGCCACGCAGTAAACATGCGCCCAAACTAAGTACTAATCTCAGAGGTAACAACAATAACATCATCATCATCATATATTTGAATTTGTTCGATAGGCAGGTTGCCATTGCAAGCTCGTGGCATGTCATTCAACAAGAAATATGCCGGTCTTCCTGACCTAGTAAGTTGTCGTGTCTCACTCCACTTTTGTCAGCGTGCTTGGCCTCAATTGACAATATGTGTCTCGTTAGGATCCAGCCCCCGATATCTACGAAACCCCAGATCTGACCGATGAGGCATCCACACTTCCCGTTAGTCCTGCCAATTGAAAGCAAGGTCATATTTCCAAGAATTAAACCATCTAACGTACAAAAACTCGAAGACTGCAACGATTCGCACCACCTCCAACGCGGATGATGACGCTGGCTCAAACTCCGACATTGACCGACAAGGAGTCGATGTAGACGAGGCGCGCGCTCATTTCTTGGGGGCTACTGTAGACGCCCGCGATATCAACTTCTCCGATAGCATTGCCCTCAAACGAAAATCATACAGAAGCAAGAGCCGTCGACGACGGAGAGGCGATGATGGGATAGAGGAAGTGGGTGATTTCAGCGACAATGAGGAGGAGAGCTTTGAGAGGAAGCTGGCCCGTCTGCGCAGGGAAGTGGAGGAATTGAAGGACGAGATGACCTCACGACAAACAAAAGCGGAATCCACCGAGCAACATGTCGAAACGGTAGATGACGGTGTGCTGGAACTGAGCCGGGCGCTGGACAACCTTCATGGATCTTCTCGAAATGCGTCAGGACCGCACTCCGCTGCCACAACGCTGTCCCAGAAGCTCGTGTTGACTTCTTTTCAAGGCGCTCCAGGCGAATCGAACAGGGCTGACGAGACGACTGCGACAGAGGATGCGGGGACTCCGTCGTCCGCTGGCGTTCTGGCACATGCTGCAGCCTTTGACGGCCGGCTAGCATTAATTGAAGCCGCCATGGGCATCTCCAGCTCCTCCAATCCCTTTGTTTCTGACGGCATCTCGGAGCCTGCACTTCAGCCCGTCCTTCCGGCCCTGGACCACCTCACCTCCCGACTATCCACACTCACAAATATTCTTGTCGGTCCAACCCCCGCATCGGCCGTACCAACTACTGGGTCCGCTCCACCCTCGACAACATTCACGACCACTCACCTCGAGGCCCTGTCAAGCCGTGTACGAAGACTGACCGCGGACACCGAGGCACTCGCTTCGGCGCGGAAACGTGCAGTTGACGCCGCCAAAGCCGCTCAGAACGCCCGCATCGCTACCGCCACGGTAGAGCACACCTCCGACATGTCGGTGTCATCCTCGTCGGCCACAGAAATCGACCAAGCAGCTACTCAGCGTGACGAACAAGCCACGAAGATCCAAGCCCTCTACGCTACCCTCCCTACTATCCAGTCCCTTCATCCTATTCTACCCAGCGTGCTCGAGCGGTTACGTTCCCTCCGTGCCATCCACGCGGGGGCCGCGCAGGCAGCAGATTCACTCAATGAGCTCGAGAAGAGACACGCGGAGATGACGCGGGAAATTGAGCAATGGCGTGAAGGGTTGAAGGCGGTCGAAGAGAAGATGGGTCAGAGCGAGGCAGCGATGAAGAGCAACATCGACTTAGTCGAACCATGGGTCCGCGACTTGGAAAAGAGACTGGACCGGCTGGAAAGCCGTGAGGATTGAAGAGAGAAACAATACTACAACGGGATTTACTTCAAAGGCTTGTAATTATGGAGGTGTGACGTACGGTTTGCAGTGATATCCAATAGCTTCGATTCTGGTGTACTTTTCTGGCTCTTTGGTTCATGGCCTACGCAAGAAGATAGATAGAGAACAAACATACACTGTCAATGAACAATATCACCAAATACGCCGCATGATCTTGATCTTGGGCTCCATCCTCAACTCCGCCCACCACCCGCGCGTGACATGTTCCCGAGCATAATCCCTGACCATCGTCCAGTACCGAGCACCCTCGGGACCAAGTAACGTGCTGAAGACCCGCTCCTCAAGCTGGCCAGTGGCCCCATCGCCAGGACGCAGGATCCTCAGCCCCGCGAATCCATTGATCACCTCGACCTCCTCCCAGCTATTAGGCCGGCCCGATGCAGTACGGACTTTCTTCTCTTCGCTCGGCTCAATGAGCACGTAGTCGAACCGTTTCCAGAAGGGAGGGAAAGACTTGGCGGTCTCGTCTTCTGTCTTGTCGTATCTCCAGACCGAACCCGCGCTCTCGAGGGCGGGGAGGTCGCTCTTTTGGGAGGCTTCCTCGGGAATCTGGGGAGGAGGCATCTCCAGGAATCTGGTGACGCCTGTCTGGCAGGCGAGGTTGCCGAGGTAGACGTTGATGACGGGTTTGGTGTTGTTGGCGCGGCTGTGGAGGGTGTTGAGAGCGCGAGCGCCGGGATAGTTTGCCGATGAGGCGGGCAGGAGGACGAAATTCGAGAGGAAGAATGATGCGGCTGTTGAGACTATTAGGGCGAAGGAGAGTAGACGGTAGATGATGGATTTGGCGCGGTGCGTCCAAATGTAGGAAGCCCCTTGGGCTGAGGCGGCGGTTAAGGGTGGGATTGTGTATGCGATGAAACGCCATTCCTTGTGCGGTTGAGCGCTGTAGATGGCGACAAAGACGAGAGAGGGGATAAGGATGTACGCTGCGGAAGAGCGGGTGGATGGGTGCGTGAGGGCGAAGGGGACTGCGAGTAGATAGGTCAAGGGGTTCAGCAGCAGGCGCGGGATGGCGCCACTGAAATAAAAGTGCCATGGGTGCGTTCCCCAAGCGGAGGCTTGCCCTGAGATGACATTGAACTTGAAGGCAGCGAGCTCTGGCCACAAGGGAAACTGCTGCCAGAAGAACGAATCCACCAGCACAGTGATGGCCAGTCCAACCGCAAGTCCCAGAGTCCCGGCCGGGATGATCTCCTGTATGACTCTGATACGACCCGTAGTAAAGAGAAACAGCGTATGCGCAGCCAGAAATAGGGCCAACTCGGACCGGAAAATAATGCCAGCAATCGTTAACAGGAACAAGGCCACTCGGCATCTCTTCCTGTAGACATCGGGAGCTACAGGTTCCGGGAGAAGAGCCCGCATTGCCAATGTAGTAATGCCAAAGGCGAACATGTTGGAGAGAGTCCTGGAGGCATAGTAGATGATATGAAACTGACTCGCTTGGAACAGCAGATACCAAATGGCCGTAGTCTGTCCGAACGCTCGCCGTACGCCGAGCGCGAACAATATCAGCGACACGGCATTGAACAGGCCGAGGATACCTCGAGCTATGTGAGCATAACATCAGCTGCTAGACTCGCTCATCAAAGCGCAAGCTAGGGAAACGCATACCGAGAGTTTGCTTATCAATATTCTCATTCAACCAGATGAACGGCTGCGACAGCCCGGACAAAACAACAGCCCCGACAAAGGTTCGAGGCACCGCTCCTGGAAACGTGGAATGATCATAATGCGCTAGAACACCAGCGAAATCATCCGTAGGAATGCCATATTTCAGAATATCATGTATAGCCTGTATATGAAACGACTCCTCGACCTTGGTGTAGGGAGCAACGAAAAGGTGGAGACAAACAAGGACCGGAAGCAACACGGTCAACAACAGAAAAACTAAACGAAAAACCAACAATTAGCAAGTCCCATATTGAGCATAGCAATCGGATCATGCCTACCGACATTACCCCCCATTGTGATGCAGCGAGAACGTTGAGCATAAACCCGGTTCCGTCAGGGTAAGTGAAGTCATTCCAGCAGAGCTCCCCTTCTTCCCCACACGTCAACGAACATCGACCATCTGGCCTGGCCGCCGAGCCCAAGTCATCTCCGCCTCGACACAATCCAACCCTCCACACCCATTCTCACCACGCGCAAGCAAATCGAGCAGTCGCAAAGATGTTCCTCTTCGGCCTCGGAAAACTCGTCTACGGTACGCACCTTCTCCTATCCCATACAGCCCTAGTTAAACTGACACCATCGCAGTATGCTGCCTATTAATCAACGCCGTGGCCATCCTCTCTGAAGACCGTTTCCTGGCAAGAAGTACGCGATCTCCTTTGCTCTATCCCTCCTCCGCACTTCACTTCTACGAGCTTGCTCGAGCGTTGCCGATACCGATGCTGAGACTAACCAACTGCTGTAGTTGGATGGGGCCGCACACAGGCAGACCCTGCCTTCGGCGCGACATACGACAGCACAAGTATCAAGGCCAAATCCGTGAATTTGATCGCTAGTGTCCGGACCGTAATGCGAAGTAAGCCACTGTGGATTCCGCCGTTCACTCCTGCCTGTTTTTGTTGCTTCGTTGTATCAGAGGTTGGGCTATATGAGGCTGAGCTGACGGTTATCGATCACGTTGCAGTACCCCTAATCGTGATCAACACAACTATAATCATTTACGAGCTCATTCTTGGGTGAAAGTTGCCATTTGAGTACCTTGTTTTCAACGTTATAGAAGGATTAGGATAAGCAGTCTCTTCTCAGGGGTCCTTCAAACGCATCATCGGCTTGTCTCTACACGACGGAATGGCTTTACCGTATAGGATGAGTGAGCCATGTACTAAGTGATGTTGCGAAATAGGACTACCTCATCCGTGATCGTTCCGCCACAGGATCTCGAGTCACATACTGCATGAATGACAGATGATGTGATTGATTCCCAGCGAGTGGTCCAAAGAACTCCTGTTTTAAATATCGCATCCAGCTAGATTCGTGCGACAATTGCATGTTTACGAGAATCATCGACGTTCCCAGTTGTAGATGCATCTGCTCACTTAATCGGTATCATAGAACTTTCAAGGCACTGCAACAGATAAATCTTGATTGTTCTATGGCAATAAAAGACGAGAAAGGTTCTGTAACAAAGTGTCTGTCGGACTTGGGAGACAATATTCACCTTATAGTTACACAGACCATATGTCCCAAGCGAACCCTTTCACTCTCCGAAAACCGTACGGATATTCTCATAACCATGAAGTAAACGCTACCTGTACACCGTTCCCGTGTCACTTGAAGAAAAGTGTAAGAAGAATTCGCTGAACGCCTCATGCACGCCACTGTGACCCGGGCAGGGGTATCACAAGATCGACCATATGGAAAAGAAGATAGACACATAGATGCGTGAAATGTCAAAGATAATCGAAGGAAAGAAAATAAGACAAGATCGGTCTCACGAAATCGCAGCTACCTTGACAGCAAACTGTGCCGTAGGTGTCATCTCGCCGCAGATAATAGATACCGGTACTGAAGGGGAAAATATGATCATACATCAAGCGAAATATGTACGGTAAATGTCCGGGTATTATGTGCAAAACTATGCAAGTCCGTTGAAATGCAGCAATGTCGACCTTCGAGATAACGGTCGTTATGAGAGAATGCTGAACGACTTCTTTCTGAGGCTGAAACTTCTCCATTTTCCATGTCCGGTACGTTCGTGTTTGGAGTCTTTGTGGTTCACTTGCTCGTCCTCTTTTATCGTAGGCTTGCCGAGCTGGTGTGGATTCGGGGGCTGGTCGTGATTTGGATGTGATTGTTGTTGTTGCTCGGATGTCGGCCCACTTTGCGAGGTTGGATGCTCTGGGATAGGTACAGGTGGCAGATCCGACGAGACACTCCGGGTCTCTTTGTCCTTGCCGAGTCTGTGGCTGAAGCTTTTGCTGCCCCGTTTCAGTCGGCTCAGACCACCACCTTGTTTCTCCTTCCCGTTTTCAGGGATATGGCGACGGTCCTCCTCAGCTTTGGAAGCTTTGCTCATTTCCAGAGCAGCCTTGAGCTCAGCCTCCTCACGGCGTTGATTTTCCTTCATTTTTGCTCCCTGCTCCTTTCGGCGCAATTTCTCGGCCTTTTCCCTTTCCTTCTCAGCCGCCTTTCGCTCCTTTTCTTCCCGAGCTCGTTCCTTCTTGGCCTGCGCATCACTCTTTGGTGGGCCTGAAGCTGTGGCAACCCCTTCGGGAATGGGAGGGACAGGAGGGGTCGGAATAAGCGGACTGAAAGGAGGAGGGCTTTCGGGATCTCCATGCTCGTGGTGAGTAGAAAGCTGAGGCGCGGTAGGAGCTCGCCTGAGGCCATTTGGTCTGTAGTGATCTTCATGAGAAGGGATCTGAGAAGCGCTGTGAACGTGGGCCAAAGGCGACTGAGGGAACCCATTCTGCTTCAAGGGAATGTCATTTGTGTCGGTAGCGGTCAGGTTTGAGTCCATATTTTCTTGCTCCTGTTCATTCAAGACAGCCTCAAGGGTTGTCTCCTGGTAGAAGAGAACGTAGGCACATGCTAGACCGGGCTTGTCGCCAAAGAAGTTTTTGACGTAGTTCTTGTCCACCGGCTCAACCATCTCGTCATCGAAAAGTAGCCATCCTCGATCTTCAGTCTTGATGATTGCAACGTAGTGTCCGTGATAGGGGCCGCCACCAATATGTACCACAACCGCATACAGCTCATAGAGGCGATCGGGATCTTCGGCATCGTCGGTTGTATTGAACAGACGAAGATGGTATGGATAAACAACTCTATGAAACAGTTTCTGAAGTCTTTGAAGGTCCTCGGTGTATTTGAACCGTTTCAGGTGCAGTGCCAGGATGCGCGGCAAGCGTTTAATCTTCATCCTCTTTTCAGCCTCCTGAAGACCGCCACAGTTGTCACAGTGGAATTTATTTCGTTCGCAGAGCATCTCCTCCGCGGAAAACTTCCTCAAACAGGATGTGACCGATGAATGTTGCTCCAGATCCACTGAAAGGTCTAAAAACACTTCGTCACGCTGAGACACCTTTTCGCATGTAAGGCACTGCGTTTCCGAAGTCAAGAGACCCTCGAATAGTTCGTGAACCCAACGAGTAGTATTGGGGGTTTTCGAGCCGGAACTAGCCGATTGATCTACAGAGTCGGCAGTCTCTGGCGCAGGAAGACTTTTCTCCAGAAGAGGCTGTTTTGAAGCCTCAGCTTCGACATTAGCGACAACTTCGTTAAGCACCAGGTTCAGAAACTCATGTGCATCTTGATGCATGGCCGTCCGGAACATTTCGTGGTCTCGCCTGAGGACCTCCAAGAACTGCTGCGGACGTACAATGCCGATGCGGGACTGACTTCCAACGACAGACTCGAAAATGTCCTTCAAAGATGTAAAGAGTGATTCCGACATGCCATAGCTCGCGGCGTTGTTTTGTGTTTCCAGGAGTGGGAGGGTCTGCAGTGCCATCTTCTTTTTATACTCCGGCGAGTCCTTGTCCTCGGGCTTCTGCTGCGGATTTGGCGGCATACCTGGTCGCTGAGCATTGGCGGCTTTCTGCTTCTCTGCTTGAGCTTCCGCTTCCAGGTGAGCGTTCGGGTTCGGATAACGGAGACTCTTCGCCAACGCTGCTTCCAAACTGTCTATGGGCGTCCTTGTAGGATAGTTGATTACCGCTTCGCGAAAAGGAACCGAGTAATAAAGACATTGCAATATCGAATTACAGTAGCTGTCGAACAGGGTTTTAGTGGTGTTCCTTTCCATGATCTTTTCTTGTCCTTCCAGGGCAACTCGATGCTATGCGCGAGATGACTTACCAGGTATTTCCATACTAAAGGAGGACGAAGGATGTCAGCAAATTGAGAACAGAGCGCACAATAGAACGGCAATGGGAATGAACTTACATTCTCCATGCCATAAAACTTGTCGCTTCCATCCTCCCTGATTGGGCCCATGTCCAGCAGCCTCTTTTCTAAAGGCGTCATCGGGGGAAGTTGTGGTTCTTTCTTTGTGGGAACCGCTCCGACCGAAGGCGCAGTAGATCCCTAGGTAGACAAGGCGACAAATTAGCAATTGACCAAAGCGCCAAGGAGATGAAGAAGCAATGAAGGAAATAGAGAGCGTCTTCCCCTTGCTTCCTTGAAGCTGACAAGAAGAGAAAGAAAAAGACCAACATAGCGCCAGTATGGCAAAAAGGAAGGCCTTCCGACCTAGGAAGCCAGACAAGTAGGCACAGGAACGGGCGAAAGGACATACCCCATTATTACGAAAACTCCTCAGGAACGACCCCATGCTTGTCAGAAGATATCTCTATTCGCAGTATCCAGCTTCATTTGGTGACTTGCGCGGGAAAGGAAGCTGATGCCAGCAACGCTGGACGTGTGCGGAGGTCGTCGCTGGAAACCGCGCGAGGGATGAGGATGCGGTAGAATAAGCGGGTAGTGACCGAAGAAACAGTTGGCGATCAAGGAAGGAGCAGAAGATATGAAGGAATTCCAGTGAAACTCAATCAGCAGTGCATAAAATTTGAACGACCCACGGAACCTGGAGAAGTCAAGAGGCGTTGGGACTTGGTCAGAGTAAGAGAGAGGAATGGGGCGGAACGTCGTTGGACGGCAGCGGAAGGGAGAGGCGGGACTACCCCGTATGTTGAGAGGAACACAGCGGTTGAGAGTGGCTTCCACGAAGTGCGTGGAGGGAGAGAAAGAAGAATTGAGGCGATGAGGATGATAGTAAGAACTCGTTAGGACAGAAGATGGGTACACAGATCAGAGAGTGGATGGGAAGATGGGGGAGGTGAGAGAGCGAGCGGGCAGGCGGTTACCTGAGAGCAGAGGCTAGGTAGATAGGCACCACGAAAGACGTCGACGAAGCACTGACTGAACTTCGTTTCTCCATACAAACGGGAGTTAATAAGACCGAACCATATTAATCTCCGGACTGCTAGACATACTAGACTGCTTTTTAGTCCATTGCTAGTCGTTTAGTTATGACGGAGAGAGCGAAGGGCGGGTCCGAGCGAGTTTGGGGGGCGAATGAACCGTTTTGGCCGGTGGATGTTCTGGTCGTTGGTGGGCTGGGGTGCGACTATTCCTTTTGAGTGTCTAGATACATGGTACGTACAGTTCTTTAGAGTCTGAATCCATAAAGCTGTGATCTTTATGAGCAGGAGCTCTTAATTTAAATGTTCTTTTTATATGAAATCTGATCCGGCCAGGATAAATCCAAAGAAACTGTCACTTTGGAGAGGCTGGTCCCCGGAACAGAGTATGTTATCACAATACCAGTGACAGTAAGGTAGGTATCTGTAACAAAGTGGGTTACCAGACGCTGTAAGGTACCTATCCTTTCTTACAGATCAGAGGTACCTAGTTGTTAGAAGTCGCCATCAGAATATTCTTCTCGATTCAATGATTATGTGGATATAATACACAGGTTCCTTTAAGACTTGTCACTAAGGAAGATACCATACTGCTATGACATCTCCGAGTCATCGTAGAGATTCCTCCATCAATGTGAAGGTAAATAAGTACGTCAGTCCACCCACTGTCTCCACACTGCCGCCTTGCAGGTTTATCTACAGAGCACGGCCTGAACTCATCAAGGCTGGAGCATCGGATAAATTCAAGCCAAGCCTACATGGTGTACATGAGGGGCCGGGGCTTGAAATAATGGTCGCAATCATTCTTGGAAACCA